GTTACGATGAGCAATGAAGGATGAAGGTGTACTAATGTACTAACGAGAAGTGAATAAAAGGAAGAAGAGAAGAAAAAAGAGAGGCATGAAAATGAGAACAGCAGGTATTGGTGAAGAGGGCATATATAGCCTGAGGCTGGAAGGGGCGTGAATGAGGTGTGGTCCCGCTCCTGAAATTCAGATAATATCTCCATTTAAAAGAATAATGGTAAATTCCCAGAAACTACATTTCAAATATACCGGTGACTGCCACTGGTGCCCCCTCAGCCTCCTAAACTCCTACATCGTCTCATTCCAGAGTTAGCACATTCACAAAATTATCAGAAATCTTGACCTTTGACCTTAATGTCAAAGTAACTGCGATTTGAAACCATTCTTGAGTTAGTGCATTCATAAACTTGGGTCTCCATGCCAACTAGCCACTCACCCGCCCGGCCAAGCCCAGCAGGCGATGACAACATCGCATCAGCCTTTTAGGATTAAGGGGTAACAACATAAACATTGTACTGTACTCTTAACTAGCTGCCTCGAGCTTTGTTAGTAAGAGTCTGAGCGTGCTGGACGAGCTTCAAAGTTTAGTGTCAAACTCTGAAGCTTCAGGGTTTGCACCAGTAAAGACTTCAGGACTGGTTGCTGTGATGGGAGGAGGCGCTAATGTAGCACCGCACTGTGTCACACAAAAGGAGCACACGTGCAGCTCCACCACCATGATGGAGAGCTGTTGTTCTCGTTCACTTCCAGCACAAAGAACAAGTTAAAGAAAACGCACTAAAAGAAACGGGTGAAATATATTCCCCTGGTTCTATTCTGACTTTTTTACTATTTTGAAGGCTTCTTTACAGATTTAGTAACTTGTTTTATATGTAAAAATACATGATGTTAACAGTAGCCTAACTTAGACTCCTTAAAAGTCCTTAAATACCTTACTATCACTATAGTATCAGGGAACATGTATATACTGCCCCGTAATAACAGGTTCATTTATGATTTACCTTGTTAATATTCTTTAAATGACACTCTGAGTCTATCATTAAAACAATACAGAACACAGGATGTGAAGCTGTCTCTGGCTTCAATTCAGATCCACCTCAGTGCTTTCTGACTTCAGGTCTCCAAATCTCTGCTTATATAAGTTGACCAGCACTGACTTCCCACCTGATCATCATCACAAACCGCCTTAAATTTCTAGAATCTTTCCATCTTCAGCAGCTTTAACATGCTGCACACCATTCTGCACAACGAAGCTCAAGCATCCAAGAAAACCAACGCTCCCACATTTAAGGAAAAAGGAGCCTTTAAGCTTGCATTCGCTAAAACTTGTATAAATTTCTCGTCATTAATTCAGTTGATTCGACCCGCCTCCGCTTCAAATACTGCAGCAGGAAACCCTGTGTGAAAAAACCTCCTGTAGGCACTTTCACATTAAAAACTGAAAACATGTAGGAGTATCAAAGGCTTTTTTCCTTTAAGCGACACACACACACATGCAGCGCCATCCTTCTGCCAGTCTTCTCCCCCGAGGCTTATCACTGTATCTCACAGAGCATTACGGTGTGTTACTGTGCGTTATTGTGAATCTCTCCCAGGACGCTCTCAGCATTGATTCAATTTCTTGCTCGGCCCCCCCCGAAGGCCTCTGCTCCTCCCACGGAGACAAAAATTAAAACCCCCGTAAGCTGCGGCAGCTGTGGCGGCATCCATGTTGTTTTGGAAAAGAGCAGCGCCGGTTTGCCATAAAGGGCATCAGCATGGAAACCGCCGGTGCACTCATTAAAGGGAAATGCCAGTGATGTGGATGTTTTTAACAAGACCTCATTAGGAGCGCTGGGCCGGGAAGAGGCGCTGCTTATAAACAGCTACATGGAAAATAATCAGGCAGGGTTAATATTAGTAATAATTAACATAATGTCTTCAATTTGATTTAACCGTGAGAAGGGCCGTGCACGTGACAAATAAACACACATATCTGTGTCTTTGACCGGCCCACTCATGTCTGTGACAGGCGTCCGATCTGGGAGCTCGCCTTTCAGTTAAATCCATGTGGTTTTATTTGTGATCTTTTATTTACTGGCAAATAAATAACCGAGCAATTTAAATCAGCTGTTTCTCCGCCAATGGTCTTAAACTCTACCTTCATGGACCGCAGCTGGCAACGACAGTCCTCGTTCTCCTCTGCACCCGTGTGGTGCACAGGAATCGGCTTTGGTTAAAGCGAGTCCATCCAGCTTTGGGACAAGAGACTCCCTGGAGGGCCAGCTGAGAGACACTGAGGAACACTGTGACAGCGACCTGGTCAGCCTTTAGGGCAGAGGTGAACTCCAGGCCTCAAGGGCCGGTGTCCTGCAGGCTTTAGATATCACCCTGGGTCAACACACCTGAATTCAATCCAATTGTTTTTTATACAGCACCAAACATCACAACAACAGTCTCCTCAAGGTGCTTTATATTGTAAGGTAGACCCTACAATAATACATACAGAGAAAACTCAACAATCATATGACCTTCTATGAACACTCCCTTTTAACAGGAAGAAACCTTTGGCAAAACCTCTGGAGAACTTCAAGAGATGTTGAGGAGGTGATTTAGCCATTTAAATCAATGCTGAATCAAGAACACATCTAAGACCTGCAGGACACCGGCGCTTGAGGCCTGGAGTTCCCCACCCCTGCTTTAGGGAAATGGAAAACCGTAAGGAATGGGGGCAGCTGGATAAAAGTGATGGAACTTCCAAAATAAGAGGATTGTCTACAAGTAAATCTGCCTGTTTTCACATCTATGTGTGTGTATAAAACCAGCACCCGGAATATGGATGTGCAAGGCTACGTGCATGTGCGCACACAACACGAGTTCAGGAAATGAATATGCATGTGTTGTGCAGCTTCACTAATCTTCAAGTCATCAAAAGAGAGAAAACAGACGGAGTGCATTTCAGTCTGTTGCTGTGACTTTAAACGAGAGCTTAATGAAACTGTACATTTGCTCTAGTTGATCTCCTCTCCTTCACTTTCCCCCTGGCTGTGTGTTTGTGACTGAAAAGCAGTGAGTAATTTTACAAATATAAAAACAGATTGACAATTTCGTAGTCTTATAGGCCTCAAGAAAAACTGTGAAAAAGAACGAGGAAAATATTATGATCCAATACGCCTCTGTTCACCTCTTACAGCAGGCTGCAGCGTTCATGGCAGGTGAGGCTGTCCTGCTGCTCTCCTATACTTCCATGCTGCTATGCTTGTGGGGACCAACACTCACTTTTGGGGACAAAATGCCAAAAACAAATACTATGTGTGAGAAACTGTGTCTACTGTGCATTAGCAGCAGTGCTCCAAGGAGAAGTGTGGAGGTGTCACATGGTCACCATGTGAAGCAGTTTTCATCTGTTTGTGTTCAAGAGCGCTGACAGTGATGGAAATGTGGATGCTGTGTTTCCTGTCAGTTTTCCTCCTTAGTATCACTGTGTTGTGTTTGAGCAACAAAAGCTATATAAGTGTCGACTCGTCTTGTCCTTTTTCCGTTTTACCTGCCCTGTGTGAAACGTAGTTACTTTTCCTTTTATTTATTTTTAATGCCATTTTTTTATATTTTAGGATGAAGTGAGGATGTGCAGCAAAGCTACAGCTATAGTAAAGGATCAGCAGTTTGAAGCCATTTCACTCCGTAGACACCAACAGCTTCTCTTTGGTGATGTGAGTGATGATGATGCCATCCCTGTCGGCTTCTCTCACACCCTCACTCAGTTTGGTTTAACACTTGTTGATAAGACTTTAATGAACAGTTACTGTAAACGAGCTGTTTTCTCTTGGCAGAAGGCCGCCCCTCCCTGAGCCTGGTCCTGGTCCTGGTTTTTTCTTCCCACTGTCGCCAAGCGCTCGCTTAAAAGGGGCGTCAGATTGTTACAATGTTCTTTATCCTACAATACAAAGCGCCTTGAGGCAGCAGGCGTTATGTAATGAAAGTGAACTGAATTGTGCTGTTGTCTTTTTACTAAGCTTCTTGGAATACGACACAAATATAACACAGCAACACTATAAGAAGCAGACAAGAAGATAAAGGCTAATGCTAAAAAACTGTGTCTTAACTGTTAAGATGCCGTTCCTTCTTTCTACAGTGGAGTCAGGCATTATTGCAATCCATTCTCTTT